TGAAAGGCATATATCATTATTTTTATCAATGTTGAAGGCATATATAAATTTAAAATCACCTAGTTAGTGATGGTATTGTTCCAAATAAAGCTAATTTAAATTTTCACAATTGTAGTATTATGATTCTTATTTTCTATTATGTTTTATTGTGCCATTATTTTCATGCATAATTTAACTTGATAACTTTTATCTAGAACGATTAACTTGATAAGTTCATCATTTTTGTCTTAAGTTTGACATATTCTCATTTATTATTTTAGTATGTTTTTGTAAAGTATGATTGTTAGAAAAATTCCATATAAACTATATGGTAGAGTACATAAATGAGAAAAAGCTTCCGAAGAGCTTATGTTTGGTTACTTGGAGTAACTAAATTAGGTACTCGTGATAATAATGTGTGATGATATTCACTGTGAATATGTGTTTACTAAGAATGCATCAAATCATAAGTCTCCGGAAGGGCGAAATATGGTACAAAATATGGTAAAGCTCTAAAAGAGCTAATGTTTTGTGGCCTGAAGGACCCAAACTACCTAGTGATGATGCATTATCCAATTAAAAGGACGTTCATAAAATGAGTATCTTATCAAGAAAATAGTAAAACTAATATTTGCATCGCAAATATGTACTACATGTATATTAGTACTATCAGTACACATAAAAGTGTAAATCAGAAGTTTACAAGATTTAATAACTTGATAATTTGGTTGGTCCGATTGGACCATCCCGGATCTTGATGCGAAAAAAATTCTTTGAGAATTCATGAGAACATCATATGAGAATTCAAATAATTCTTCAAGAGTTATTATGTCATGCTTGTTCTCAAGGAATATAGAACAATTGATCATCGCTTGTAAAAGAGTTGGCAAATCTCTTGAGATTTTATGGACGTGTATGCAGAACAATACATCAGTCATGTGGATCATTTGTGAATTTCATGGGTTGCTGCATCAAATGGAAGATCACATGTATTTTATCTTATCGCAACTCGATTTTTGCGAGATTGGTTGCCTCACTATGGATATATTTTGATGGTTATCCAATCAAACATCACTTTGCTTAATAGAACAAGCTGAGCCTTCCAGTCTCTTGTCGAGAACATGCTAGCTGGCAAGTGATAGTATTGGTTCGCACTTCGCATCTAACCAACAAGTTATCATAAGTTCCCCCCTTTTTACAAATGGTTTTGGTCAGAAACCGAACATTTCCCATATGAGAATATAAGGGTGTGCCGCATACATCACAATTGCTCCACCACAGTATTTTAAGTTGATTCTCATTAGAGATTGAGAATTTGTGTTGAGGTTTGAATCCCATATGGGAAATTTGTTTGCGAAATTATTGTTTTGATGGATTACTTTTCCAACATTAAGGGGGAGAGATAAAACAGCTAGGCAAAGAGATGAGTTGGAATGAGTTACCATTGTCTAGTTTTGATCCTCAAAGTAAGAAATGTGAACCTGAAGTTCATAAGATGAATTATCATTACCAACTATCAATTGCCTCTACTGGCCATACCAAGTGACCAAGTCACATATACTAGCCGTGAATGCTCCAACTAAATTTGATATCCTTGTTGGATACTCTAATATAAAAAATGTGTATGAAAGAGCGCATGAAGCGTGATAGACCAATCGGTTCCAATGATAAACATCCTCGAGAAAGAAAAGGAGCTGTAATTAGAATGATCAACTCGAGGACATGAAAACTCAAGAAGAGTAACCAAGAATAAAATATAATTTTAGTTCCATAAGAACACATGTCTCTGAAAGTTGTGAATGCGAAGAGATCTCAAAACCATATTAGACTACAATACTGGAACCGTAATGAAATCATTGTTGATGAAATTTGTTTGTTGTACTTCAGTACTGAATATGATATGTACAAGTGAGGATCAAGAGTAAAACTCTATTGATGCATGCAAATGATGATGTTATTGGCCAATATAGAAAGAAATCATGAAACTTGCTCAAGGAGCATAGAGTTTAAGGACCAGTCCTTGTACCTAAAAAAGGGCGAAACTAGCGGGATACAAAAAAAAAATTTGTTATTGGAAAGTATGAAATTGTGAGTTATATAACACAATGTTTTGCAATGGGTTTCTCGAAGAGACCTATCATTGTTTGAGAGGAGTTATGCTCTCTTGTGGTGGATGCAACTACTTTGTCAAATCAATGTTTAAATCTATGTTTGAAAATTGTTGTGATAGCCTATTTGTTTGAATACCTTGAACATGTTATATATATTTGAAAGTTGATAGACCGTCATTTGCACATGTTTTCCCCTTTTGTTTCTTGATTGTTTGAGCTTGAATTACCGTGTCTTTGGCCTATTTTACGCTAGGTTGTGTTCCTTTTTCACATTTCAGGTCCTAGCACATAAAGTGAAGCATAGGCGCAAGTTTCAAGTCAATCAGAGATCAATTGGCGATTCGGGAGCAGAAACTCGGGCATGACCTGAAGAAGAATGGATTTCTACCTCACTTTATGGACAGAGAATCATGCAAGCTTGTTATGAAATGAAAGAGGACAAGACTACGAGCGTCTGGGATCAAACGGCGACTGATTCGGAGTCCGGACGAGGGAGAAACGAAGCATTGAATATAGGAGAACAGGTTCGGAAGTAAAAACACGGGCAGGAGGCCTTCAAAACACGGCCGTGTTCTGTGACCGTGCTTTTACTGCCGAGAGCAAATCCGAGTTTGGCAGACATGAGCTGATTACACGGGCGGGGCCGAGACAAAGCACGGGCGTGTTTTCCCAAAGCACGGCCGTGTTCTCCCAAAAGCACGGCCGTGTTTTCACCAACATGTGGCCGTGTAATTAACCCTAGCCAAAGCACGGGCGGGCTGAGGCAAAGCACGGCCGTGCCCTCGACAGTGTTTTGGCCAATGATGCCCTTTTAGGCAGATTTCAGCCAAATTGAGAGGGGATTCGAGTTTTAGAGAGATAGAACGATTCCTAGAGAGAGAAAGCGACGAACAAGAGTCTCCAAGTGCCCGAGATCGATCTTCAACACCATTGGAGCTTGGTTTGAGCTTGGAGAAGTGCCGATTCAACGTCCAGGAGCAGAAATCCATCTTCACAGTATGATTTCCGCGTCTGATTCTGCTTTTGCTTCTCTCTCCATGGAGTAGTTCTCCCATTCATCTGGGTGTGGGAAACCCTAGTTCTGTATGTTGAGATTGATTGTATGAACCCAAGTACTGATTCTGTGATTGATTATATTCGATTGAGGTTTGAATGATTGAATGACTTGAATCCTGATCAAATTCCTGTTGTTTCTGCTTTAACCTAGAATGAGAATATCTGCCTAGGTTAATAGAGTATCCTTGATTGAAGGTAGGGAGTTGGTGACTTTAGTCGAGGAGCCAACTCACTATTCTGTACCGGATTTACTCCGGTAGTGGAGGTTTTGTTCTTAGGGCCTCAATCTGTCGACTCCGGTGGAGGTTAGTCGCCCGCTAGAGAGTCAGATTGAGAGGGTCTGAAGACCTTTAGTCGAGACTTCAGGCTGTTTAAGAACCTTCCGCAGTATAATCTTCATAGAAACTGAACTTGGTAATTACAATCCGGCTTAACTGCAGACTAGGGGGAACCATATCCGGGTGACCTCTTTAACTTGAATACAACCGGTTTACTTGCTTTGTTTGTTTGGTAGTTTAGACTTGCACTCCAGTTTTATTGCTAGATAACAAGAACTCACTGAGTAGTCAGCAAATCTAGGACCCGGGTTGACATATAAACCTAACCCGCTATACTACGCTTTAGGAAGTGGTTTCACTTGGCCAATTCCTAGGGTGACAGTAGAGTCGAGTCAAAAGTCTCAGAAGGATTAATTTACCTGAAGTAAACAAGTAAAGTTCTCGAGAACGTATAATGATAGACTAAGAATATCCCGTGTATGGGTTGAGAAAATGAAGACAAATGTGAAATACTCGTCTAAGTGACACCTACAACAGTAGGGTGAATCGGTTAAATCCGGATAGAGTGCATTAGAGCATTTGCATTGTGCATATATAGTTGTGTTGTTTGTATGTGCTTCAAGGATTTTAAAATCTTGGTTTATGAGTTGTGTTTTACTTTAAAGTATGAGTTGTGTTTTATGACTGTGCTTTGTCTAGTTCATATGTTACTATGATGTGAGTTTTGTTATTATCTTTCGTGATATAAAAGAATTGCTTGCATCAATTTGTGTTAGTTAAGTTTTTTTGTGACGCTCTCATATTATGTTGATGATATGATTATTATTGGAGCTCCTGAAGAGCTTCCTAAACCAGTTGATTGCTTAGAGACATAAGTTAAATTGAAGGATTTAAGATCTTTTTTAAGGGCAAGGAAGGTAATGTTAAAAAGTGGAAAAGTAATTTTGCGTGAACAAATTATGTTCATCAAATAACATTAGGATCCTAAGATCACTAGAAGTGACCAAAGATCCATTTAGGCATCAAGAAAGAAGTGAAACATTAGGTCCTGAAGTACTTTATGTTGTTGTACTAGGTCCTGAAGTACCATATGTTGATGCATCAGAGCACCAATGCATCTTGCTAGCCAAACACCATATAAACTATAATTTTGGTGTTGATAATAGGGCTAATACCACTAGGAAACCCGAACTATTAACTTTGTGTCATTTGTGTCTTAAAGTATTCAATATGACAATTGTGTCCCAAACTATTTTTCCGTTATGGTTGACTGACGTTGACCGTTAGTTTTAAACAGAAAGTCTAATAAGCGCTGATGTGGCATCTGACGTGGAAATTAAGAGGAAAAAATAACCAAAAATGGAGACGAGTGAACCCAGCTCTTTCCGGCGACGTGGCTCCGATTGGTGATAAAATGCTTCAATGAGGATGGAGACGAGTGAACCCAGCTCTCACCGTGAGTGCCTCCGTGACAACCGATGGGAAAGAGCAGAGTGTGTTTAAGGTTTTCGAGCACTGTCGAAGATCTAGATCTAGGACTCAGGCACCGAAGACAACGACGAACGCTGTCGAAAATGATTTACCTTAACACAGCTTGCCCTTTGGAACTCTTCTAACTCGCCCAGCTGCCAGATATTTTAACCAACGGTAATAATTTCCAGAAACAGTAAACAAATTCCAGTTCTGGCAAGCTAATTTACTTCAAAGTTCAAACCTTTTGAGCGGCTGTCGAAGCTCCGACGAAATTGGGGATCCGGTGGTGAACGGGTCGGGGATTCCGAGCGAAGTTCCAGGCCTCCATCAAATCCCAGACCCGCTTCCGGATTATCCACTTCTAAGCTTTCGGATCCTCCGCCTCCCCGCCATCGGCTTCCATCATCTCCGTCGCCGAAGCTTCGGCCATCGATTGGCGCGCCAACGTGTCCAGCCGCAACCTCTCCGCCTCGTACACCGACTCGTCCAAAGCCACCCGTTCCTCTCCTCCTCCGCTGCCGGTTCCCGCCACCGTGAAACTGGCGCTGGAGTAATTGTGGTAAAGCAACATCCTATTCAAGTTGATCCAACTGCGGGAGCATAGCGAGGATCGAGAGACCGAATTGGGACGATGCTAATTTTATTTAATTTTTAATAATACTCTATTATTTTATTTTTTATTTAATTTTTAATTAAAAATATGAGGTGTCATTGACGTGGCATCTACGTGGCAGCCACGTCAACAAAAGTCAATGTTAATGTTGACTTCCGTTTGGTCAACTGTTATCTATAACGGTCAACGAAATTGTCAGGACATAAATGACACACAACTATCATACGTTGTGACACAAATGTCATATCGAATACTTTAGGACACAAATGACACAAAGTTAATAGTTCGGGTTTCCCAGTGGTATTAGCCCTTGATAATATTAGCAAAATACAATGTTTCCCTCAATGGAACGTTGGAAATACTTTGTTACCTTCAAGAACAATATATGCGATTGTTCTATTATGGTACTATCAAAGAGAGATTTGGTGAACTATATATCAAAATCCTATATATTATTTGATCCTCATATTGGTTGGTTAGAGACGAGTTAACTCTTACATATGGTGATGTGATTGTTTCATTGATATCCAAAACAAACTATAGTAGGCAAGTCCTGAATGTATTTCGTTACACTTTATGATTCACCATATCTAAAGGACTTGTGGTTGTAAACTATTTCTAAAGGAAATGATCCTGACAATCATGTATAAAGAAAAATCTAAAGATCATGCATAAGATTGACAATCTAGAAGATTGTTCACTAACTAACTCCCGGCAAATCTTTCTAAAAGTTGTTTGTGAAATTTGAGTTCAACGACTCAAAGATTTGAAGTGATGTGTTCATGAGGGGGAGCATATACGCACTGCACTCTTTTTCCCTTAACCATGGTTTTTTCCCATTGGGTTTCCTGGTAAGGTTTTTAACGAGGCAGTATGAGATAGCGTAATGCAATCTAGTGGTCATCCAAGGGGGAGTAATATTATGTAAATATTGATATATGGATGACCATTGTCATTACCACATTAGATGCTCACTTGGGAGTTACATGTAACCCCATTCCTACATTTGATAGCTCCTTTATGTTTCATTATCTCTCATTGATATAAGGATGTAGTGGTTACCAAGGTGTGCCTATAAATAAAGCACACCATTGTATCAAAAGAGAAGAATGAATAAGAAAGCTCACTTCCCCCTCTCTTCTTTGTGTCTTTCCCTCTCTAATCTTCTCTTGTAGTTGTTTATTTTTTCCATTAGTTTCATAACAAAATAATTGTTGTCCGAGTTGTAGGGAAATGTAGCACTGGGTTTTTCTTACCCAGAAAAGAAAAAAGAAGTTGGTTCGATCGGCGTCTGGTATACCAGCGGTAGGGGTGTCAGTTTGGTTGTCGGTTAGCGGCTAACCGATTGGTCCAACCGATAACCTCCGGTTAGAGGCTAACCGAAAACCGGATCTAATAATCATCGTTCGGTGGTCGGAGTGTCTGGTAGGAGCTTCGGTTAGCCGAGCAACCGAAGCCGGTTAATCGGCTAACCGAAGTAACCGACCGAGGGTTCCCACCATAGTCTAGACGACACCGTTCCCCCCTCCCCACGACGCCGTTCCACAAAAAATCTATCCGCCTCCACCAAAATGACCCCTCTCCTTCATCACCTCTCACCAATCCATTCACCAACCAGCCAACCCTACCTTTCCTCTCTTCCCCTGTTCCCAGTTCCTCGCCGTCATCCCCTTCCTCACCACCAGATCCTCGTTGGTCCATCACGCGTCCTCCTTCGCGCACGTCAGTCTTTGCCGCCGTGCTCGTCCCACCTAGGCCTTCGCTCGTCTCATCTCTGTCTGCCTCCGCCGACGAGCTCCACGCCACCAGCCAAACCTCCGCTCCTCTGACCTCACACCCGCCTTGCCGCAGCTCGCCGTTGTCGAGCACAGACAGGGAGACAGGCGATAGCATACAGCAAAAGAAGAAGGCCAGCGGTCGCCCTTCATACTCACCTCGTCGTTGCCGCAGCTCGCCCTTCACACACATCTCGCCGGTCGTCCTTCAAAATTGAGATTTGCAGAAGAAGAAGGCGAGCGGTGTCGAATGTCGATAGATCTGAAGAATGAAAGGGAGGTTTGGAATGAAGGATCGAGAACTTTGGAGTTGGGGATAAGGATTGGACAGTAGAGAATTTTTTTTTTTAATGAACCTCCCTTAAGCGACAGCGTTTTGAAGAGAAGGGGTATTTTTTTGGGTATGCGGCTAACCGAGCCTAAAACTGAAAACCAGCCGGTCGGTTATCGGCTAACCATGAGCCTCTTCTCTGTCGGTTGTCGGATGGTCCGTGGAGTGGTTCGGCTAACCGATAACCGGGCTTTTGGTTTTTGGTTAAACCGAAACCGACCAACTGCCACCCCTAACCAGTAGGGATGGAAATGGGTCGGGTTGGGGCGAGTTTTGCCAAACCCGAACCCAAACCCATGGGTTTGTCCGTCAAAAAAACCCGGGGTAAAACCCGCCGGGTTTGAAAAACTCAAACCCAACCCAACCCGCTGGGTATCCGCGGATTGATGGGTACCCGTGGGTTTTTTTTTGGAGTATGGACCTTGGAAGGCTTCTCGGCAGTGGCAACAGCAGCCGAGCCGAGCAGAGGAATTCGGGAATGGTGGAGGCCGGAGGTGCAGGTGCAGCAACGGAGGCGGGCGAGAATCGACGGGAGGTGTGTAGAACGTGTTGGCAGGGGCCTTCACTTCTTCTATTCCAGTCTCCCACAGCTGCAGCTTTAGCAATCTGCAATTTCTGGGTTAGTTTCAAAAGAACACTTTGGGGACGATGGACGAGAGCAACTCTTGATCTGAAAGGTCACCAAAGCAAACTTTGGAATATGTTTTTGTAGAATGAAGCTAATGGGCCAAAATAAATAACAAGCCCACAAGATGTTATGAAACTCGTTTTTGAGTGAGCCCACAAGATGTTAGCATTTTAGGGTTAGGGGTGTGGCCGGGTATCCACGGGTCGGGTTCCCCCAAACCCGAACCCGCCCCAACCCGCCCAACCAGTCACCGGGTTTAAACCCGAACCCAGCCCAAACCCGGTCAACACGGGTTTTACCCTGTTTGACCGGGTTGGGTCGGACCGGGTACCCGCGGGTCCGGGTAGAACTGCCATCCCTACTAACCAGCGGTGGTTGAAGCTTAATCGGTACGATAGTTGAGCATTATTTCACAAACAAGACGTGTTAGGTCCTATACTATGCTCTAAACAAACCTTTTAGCGTCAGAACAACTTGCCTAATTAGAATTATATCCCTTGGTAAGACAAGCATCTAAGAAAAATACATTGCCTTATTTTTGCTGCAAATTAATTGTATGAGCCAAGATATTAGCATAAAATTCTTTCTAAATCAATACAAGATTTTTTGTAAAAAAAATCCAGCATAAACAGACAATTAAATACTTTCAAGTTACCTATAAAGGTGGTTTCTTGTACACGTATTTCATAAAGTGATATGTTATCTAGTATTGATGTTGGAAGTCTAGTATTTCATAAACAGACAATTAAATACTTTCAAGCTACAGGATGGTCACAAAACTATTCACTTTGTACAAAACGGTCACAAAATTTTAATTTTGCACGTTTCAGTAACAAACGTTTGGACTAATAACAAAAAGGTAATTTCATCCATCTCCATCCAAAATTCTGTTAATTTGGTCCAATCAGCCATCCAGTCAGCATCCACATCATCAAAATAATCAATAAAAAATAAAATAGAAAGCAATTAAACCCTAACGAACCCACCACCCCAATCGAACCCAAGCCATTTCTCTTTTTCCTCTCCGCCACCATCTCCGCACCGCCCATCTGCAAAAAAAAATCCATATTCATTCGATATTTGGATTGCAAACCATTTTAAAAAAAGTAAACAGTTAAGACTTAAGAGAGAATGATCTCTCTCTCCTCCCCCTTTCCCTAACCACGATCCATATCCAGAACCTCTGTTGCTGCCGCTTTGCTCCTTCTGAGGTTCGAAGATGATTTTACAGCGTGCCTCTCAGTTCTTTTAGTGCTCGGCCTGGTTGAAAAAACAACAAAGCAAGGTACTAAATTCGGTGAAAAAGAAATTGGTTAATTATGATCCAGAACCGCCACTCTTCGGTTACATAACTGGTTTGGTAATCATAACTAAGCACCTAGAGATCAATGGGGGACAGAGTACAGGAAGAAAAGTGAACCTGCTTTGCTTGATTGTTTCTTAAAAAAAAAGAACCCTTACTAGCATGGTAGGAAGCTTTCTACCGAGGAGAGGAAGGAAGAGGACAGGAGACCTCTTGATGAATCTCCTTGCGTCATTTCCCAACAAAGATTCCATTACCGCCATTTTTGTACGAATGTAGCTCTAAATATAAAATGGTAAGATAAAATATTAGCAAGAGATAATTTTTCCAAAAGCTAGAGGAACGCTGTTTTCGTTTCCAGCCATGTCATAAACCAGTTGGTCCCAATAACTCGAGTTGTTGAGAGAAGGTTATGCTGGATCTTATACAGGCCCATGTATGGTACTTAACCACTTCCTTACACGCCTCCTCAAATGAAATCCGACTCATGGGCTTGAAGTTTGCACAGGCCCGCCATACCATGTGCTTGAAAGACAACGTTTAATATTGGGGGTCGTGAGGACTTGAAAGTGACCTCAAGAACAAACCAGCTCTGATACCATGTAATAAACCAATCGGTCCCAATAACTCGAGTTGTTGGGAGAAGGTTATGCTGGATCTTATACAGGCCTATGTATGGTACTTAACCACTTCCTTCCTTACAGGCCAATGTTCAAACAGTAGGAATCAGGTGGACAGTGTGGAGATGGTGGCAGAGAGGGCGAGGAGATAGAGAGGAATGGGTTAGGTTCGATCGGATTGGGTGGTGGGTTGGTTAGGGTTTAATTAATTTCTATTTTATTTTTTATTGATTATGTTGATGATGTGGATGATGATTGGACCAAATTAACATAATTTTGGATGTAAATGGACGGAATTACCTTTTTATTATTAGTCCAAACATATGTTACTCAAACGTACAAAATTTAAGATTTGTTACCGTTTTG